AAGTTAAAAAAAGCATTTCAGGCCGGGCGCGGTGGCTCAAGCCTGTAATCCCAGCACTTTGAGAGGCCGAGGCGGGTGGATCACGAGGTCAAGAGATCGAGACCATCCTGGTCAACATAGTGAAACCCCGTCTCTACTAAAAATACAAAAAATCAGCTGGGCATGGTGGCGTGTGCCTGTAATCCCAGCTACTTAGGAGGCTGAGGCAGGAGAATTGCCTGAACCCAGGAGGCAGAGGTTGTGGTGAGCCAAGACCGTGCCATTGCACTTCAGCCTGGGTAACAAGAGCAAAACTCCGTCTAAAAATAACAAAAAACAAAAAACAAAATTTTAAAAATAAAAGTCCAAAGTTTTCTTTGGAAATTTAACAAAACTAAAATTTGTTTTTCTAGAATGCTCAACGTATCAAAGTGATCGAAAGAGTCTACTAAGATTAAGTTTTGAAATCTACAGCCTTACTCCTTGGGTGGAATCCATGCTAAACCACTTAAGCATTATAACTTTAAGCAAATTACTTAAATTTTGTACTCCAATACTCTCACCTCTAAAGCATGAATGATAATAATATTTACTCCTACTCAAGGTTTTGATGATTAAGTAAACACAAACTAAGAACTTTAACAGTGGTGGACATAGCCAGGCGCGGTGGCTCACGCCTGAAATCCCAGCACTCTGGGAGGCAGACGTAGGTGGATCACAAGGTCAAGCGTTTGAGAACAGCTTTGGCCAATGTGGTGAAACCCTGTCTCTACTAAAAATACAGAAATTAGCCAGGCATGGTGGTGCACGCCTGTAGTCCCAGCTACTTGGGAGGCTAAGGCAGGAGAATTGCTTGAACCTGGGAGGCAGAGGTTGCAATGAGATCCTACCACTGCACTCCAGCCTGGGTGACAGAGCAAGACTCCATCTTCCAAAAAAAAAGAAAACAACAACAGTGGTGGACAAAGTCAAGTGTTTAGGATATTCTGTAAGAAAGAAATTAAAGTTCTGCTACTTTCTTCTTTCAAATCAGAAAGCCATTATATGACCCAACAAAGTGTGACAGAAATAATTAGTAGTTTCCTAGAGGCTGATCAGTTCTCAATCTTACTCAGATTTATTTTGCTCATTGATACACACAATAAAAACTTATTTGGGCCGGGCGCGGTGGCTCAAGCCTGTAATCCCAGCACTTTGGGAGGCCGAGGCAGGTGGATCACGAGGTCAAGAGATCGAGACCATCCTGGTCAATATGGTGAAACCCCATCTCTACTAAAAATACAAAAAAGTAGCTGGGCATGGTGGCACATGCCTGTAATCCAAGCTACTCAGGAGGCTGAGGCAGGAGAATTGCCTGAACCCAGGAGGCAGAGGTTGCAGTGAGCCGAGATCGCGCCATTACACTCCAGCCTGGGTAACAAGAGCGAAACTCCGTCTCAAAAAAAAAAAAAAAAAAAAAAAAAAAACTCACTTGAAAAACCAGAACAACTTACTGAAAGGCCTGTGATGATTATTTTCTTCAAGAGACTGAGGCAGTGGCCTACTCTAATAGGTCTCCTAATTTACTGCCCTACTTTTACCCTCTTAAAACATTCCCCACACAACGGCCAAAAGATGAACCAGATCTCTTCTTGAAGATCCTTCAACAGACTCTACTTGTGCCCAAGATAAGATCTTAAGACCCTGCAAGGTTCCATGCTATAAATGCTTAGTCCTTGCCTACCTCTCCAACTTCATCCCTCATCTATGTATTCTTGGCAATTATTTTCCAGTATTATTTCTTACTTGGTGGCCAGGTTTTTTTTCCCCACTCCTTATCTGTGCTTTCACATATGGTTTTCTTAGAGATTCAACTTTATCATTAGCTACTTTAAGGTTCCTTCCCTAGCAGCATCCCCCAAATTTCATATTCTAATTTTGGTTCCCTTGCTACATTCTCATTCATCCTGTTCTTTTCCTTCATTGAACCTGACTGCGAAAATGCCTTTGTTTCCTTTGTCTCTTCCCTCAATGATATATAGTATCAAAAAGGGCAGGGAACATGCTTTGTTCATCTCTATATGCCCAAACCTAATGATTTTCTAAATAAATACTTGAATATTTAATAAATACCTCATACTTAAATTTTCTTGAACATCTCCAAGATGTTTAAAATACTTTTTCCCACCCTCTCAATCTATAATCTGCTTCCTTCATTTACATTCCCAAACAGAAGCTAGAAGCCAGCAATCATGCCAAATCTCTTCTTGTCCATCTTATCAAATGCATCCTAAGATGCTCCTAAAATTTACCTCCTAATCACTTATCACTTTAGCATTACCTTTGTCCAGGCCAGATCATTCTTCCTTGGATTTATCTCCCAGTGAGCCTTATTAATGTCACTGCAGTCCAGCCTGGGTGACAGAGCAAGACCCTTTCTCAAAAAATAAAAATAAAAAATAAAAGGAAAATCTGATGTCGCTTTCCAGTTTAGAATCTTTCTTAAACTGGCTCACGACAGGCTGGGCACGGTGGCTCACGCCTGTAATCCTAGGACTTTGGGAGGCCGAGGTGGGTGGATCACCTGAGGTCAGGAGTTCAAAACCAGCCTGGCCATCACGAAACATCTTTAAAAAAGAAAAAAAAATGGCTCACCATTGGTTTCCGGATAAAATGTAAACTCTTTTGCATGGCATTCAAATTTTTATTACCTGGCCTTAAGATTCATTCCAGTACCCTACCTCTCTTAAAATGATCCCCCCCTATGTGATTAAGGTCAAGGAGATAAATTTATACATTTAAAATTGTAAATAAAATTAAGAAAAAAAGAATCCCCTGACCCCTTAAGTTACTTAGGTATCCATTTCTGCATGCTTTTTATTTTTTTTTAAGACAGGGTTTTACCATGTTGGTCAGGCTGGTCTTGAACTCCCGACCTCAGGTGATCCGCCTGCCTTGGCCTCCAAATTGCTTGGATTACAGGAGTGAGCCACCATGCCTGGCCTACTTTCTTTAAAAAAAAAAAATATATATATATATATATATATATATAGGGTCTCACTTGGCGTGGTGCCTTACACCCTTATCCCAGCCCTTTGGAAGGCCCAGGCGGGTGGATCACCTGAGTTCAGGAACTCAAGACAAGCCTGGCCAACATGGATGGCGTCTCTACTAAAAATACAAAAATGAAGGTCAGCACTGTGGCTAACATCTGTAATCCCAGCACTTTGGAAGGAAACAGATCACAAGGTCAAGAGTTTGAGACCAGCCTGGACAACATAGTGATACCCCGTCTCTACTAAAAATACAAAAATTAGCTGAGCATGGTGGTGCATGCCTGTAGTCCCAGCTATTTGGGAGGCTGAGGCCGGAAAATAGCCTGAACCTGGGAGGCAGAGGTTGCAGCGAGCCAAAATCCTGTCACTGCACTCCAGCCTGGGCAACAGAGCAAGACTCTGTCTCAAAAAAAAAAGTGATGGGGTCTCAGGTCTTATGCCTAGAGTGCAGTGGATATTCATATCACACACTACAGCCTCTAAACTCCTGGGCCAAGGGGGCCTCCTACCTCAGACCCCAGTTATTTGGGACTACAAGCTTATAGGCAGGTACCAACACCCTCAGCTTATTTCTGCATGCTTCAAAAGGACCTGTGTTTGCCTTTCATCATATATTGGCATTATGCCAGCTGTGAAGCCCTTAAAACATATTAAACTATATTCTATAGAACATATCTTCAAGAAAAAAAAATTTTTTTTAAACCTGTATTTTATATCTCCGAACAGAACATGTCCCGTAAGTGTGTAGAATTAACAAGGAATAAATCAAACTAAACCTATACTGAACAGCTTCCATACACTGACAGCAGCACATTAAGTATTTCTACTTCTCTCATACAATTGAGGGAATCAATAAAGCTTGTACCTATTTTAAAAAATTAAGATTCCCATTCCTTTTTTTTTTTTTTAGATATCCTCCAGGAATCTTTTGCTTTAACTTCCTCCCATACTGTTTTATGTGTACCTCTGGTGTTCACTTTAACTAGATTTTACTCTTTTCATTCGAGTATGGTAAGGGGGCAAGTTTCCGATTTACCCTAGTACGACAGCACCGAACACGCCTTCAAAAAATTACTCCAGGTTGGATGCATTGGCTCACACCTGTAATCTCAACACTTTGGGGTGTCAAGGCAGGAGGATCACTTGAGCCCAGAAGTTCAAGACCAACCTAGACAACATAGCGAGACCCTGTCTCTACAAAAAATAGAAATATTTTAAAATAAAACTATCCCCTGGCTTGAAATCTATCAGAGCAACTCTAAAATGGTTATCAAAACATTTTGCTGGAGTAAAACAGTATGGGTTGTTAAAATGCTTACTCTTTAGCTATCCACATCTTTATTAACCTCTACACCATTCCTGTGAATAATACAGAATTCATTCCTTCTTACCATCAGGAACACATTAAAGTCCCCAAAATCTAGCTGGGCCTTGAGTCACTATTGTAAATGGGGACAGCCTTAGACAGTTCCTGATTGGATATAGTTTAAACAGATTTCCCTGCTTTGTGAGGTCAAAAAGCCTACCCTCCAGTGAGACAGCATTGTAATATTGTCGTATCTCTTACGGTTTGACTCTTGAAATTTTAATGAGATAAAAAAGTCTAAATAGAATACAATCCAAAAATGTCACAAACCCAAGAAATATGTCAAATGACAGAATATGTTTACTGAATTGTAATAATCTAAGAAAAAGGACTCCTTAATATGTTGTTTTGTTGATAATCACTAAAACAAGCCACCTTCATTTTAAACTTCAGCTGCTCTTTCCAAGAATCCAAAATGTTCCAATCAGCCCAAGTTAATTAAAAACTCAAATTCCATTAGTTTACAAGTAACTGAGGTGGTCCCCCTTGGGAAATACCTCAAGATGCACACACAAAACGCTTAGTCCAAATACTTCCAGAGGCTATGACCTACACACATCAACTAAACTTAAACGGGTTTATTTCCTAGTCTTTGTAATGAATCCAAGTGGACCTCACACCTCTTACCATCACCCAGGAAGGGTGTGCATCTGTTCCGAAGGCCCCCCTGGCTCCAGGTCATCCTGGCTGCTGCTGCTCCAGGCTGGGCATCCATGTTGCTGCAGCTTGTGGTTTGTGATGGGTAGTGTACAGGAAAAGCAGGATGGGATTTCAAGGGAAACAGGAGGAAGATGGCTTTCAGGGAAAATGCCATCACGATCATAGTGTTAAGTAGTACCACACACATTTTATTGCAGCACAGTTTAAAAATTTAACAAATGAAAGATTAAAAATAAAAAAACAAAAATAAAAAAAATTAAAAATACAGACGTCCAGAGATGCTCTAAAACAGTTAAGTTAAAGATCAGGAAAAATAAGGTCATAGACTTAACAGCCAGTAAAATTCTTTCAGTGTGGGGAAGGGGATGAGGGCAAGGGTGGGGTTGGGAGAGAAAAGGTTTATGTGATCAATCCACTTAAAAATACTAATGCCTTCGCTTTCTCTCCCAAGATGCAAAACTCCAAAGTCAATCAGGAGGCCGGAGAAATTCTTAGAAACATTCAGAAAAACTCGATTTTAATCCGGTTAAAAATCATCAGTGTCATTATCATCATCATCATCACCATCATAAGTATTAATATAATAATAAGTAATAGTAACTAGTAACAACAATAAAAAGGAAATCAGCGGAAAGTCAGGAAAAATGTTAAAAAAAAATTGGAATAACTTACTGTAGCTGAAGATCAAAAAAATCTCACTGTAAAAAAACAAAAATAAAAATAGCCCAGATTAGAAAAACGGGAGGTGCAAAAATGTCAAGTCAGTAAAGTTCATTTCTTTTCTCTTTCCAAAAGCAGTTTCCACAAAAACCGCAAGGATAAAGTTCTCAGTAGCAGACAAGCAAAGCCCTTTCCACATCATCAATCAATCTTAAAAATACACGAGGAAGTAGAGAGGTCAGTTTATGAGAGGCTAAAAGGCTCCTCCTCCTCTAACCCAACTGCTGCAGAAAAAATAGAAATAGAAATTTTAAAAATTACATCTTAAATCCAGGTCCCGGTCTTGGAAACAATTAAAAAAAAAAACACCTGTACATTTGCCGCGTAGTGCACACCAAGTTGCATCATTATGTTTAAAATGTCTTTATAAAATCAGTTGTGGAATGGGAATGTGTGTGTTCTGGAAGGGTGGGGAAGGGAGGTTAAAAATCAAAGCTGAGCTCCAGTGAGTAGGGATGGGGTTCGCCTTGCTGCCCTGTGAAAGGAGAAGGGACAGATTGAGTCAGAGTTCCTCAGAAATGTTGTGCCCTAAACCCCCGAAGACAGAAACATCTGTCTATTCCATCTAACACATTTTGGTAAAGCATTAACATTCCACTGGGATGGGACAGCCTCCATAGAATCACCTCTACCAGTGAGTGTTTTCACAATTCTTCAACATCAATGACTAAAATTAACTAAATCCATGTCAATATGCCCTTGAGGGGCTCAAAAAGAATCTATGTTCAAATATTCATCTTCATAATGTGCAGTTTGGGCAAAGAAAATACAGAAAAACCGGGCCAATAAATAGAGATGAAACAGTGAGCAAATGTTGAATATTGAGATTATAAAAAGCAAGCAGATTTATGGGTTTTAAACTCGGTGGAGTTTTTTTACTATGAGTAACAGACTGAAGGTGAATGGCCTACCATGAAGCTTTAGATATGACTCATCTATTCTCAAAACCAGTGAGTGATCAAACCGCAAGACCTAATAGGTTTTCCTGTTAGAGGAAAAGATGTTTTAATTAAGGGGCACATTACTCACTGACAATAGGAAAAAATATACAGATGGGAAAAAAAAAGACTCATGGCTACTTAATATTTCATGTCATAAAATAGGTGAAAAAATTACTGTCCTGCCAGGTGTGGTGGCTCACACCTATAATCCCAGCACTCTGGGAGGCAAAGGTGGGCAGATCACCTGCCCCAGGCAGGTGGAGACCAATCTGACTAACATGGAGAAACCCTTTCTCTACTAAAACTACAAAATTAGCCAGGTGTGGTGGCTAATGTCAGGCATTGGAGACCAATCTGACTAATACGGAGAAACCCTTTCTCTACTAAAACTACAAAATTAGCCAGGTGTGGTGGCACATGCCTGTAATCCCAGCTACTCAAGAGGCCCAAGCAGGAGAATTGCTTGAACCCGGGAGGTGGAGACTGCAGTGGGCCAAGATGGTGCCACTGCACTCCACCCTGGGCAACAAGAGCAAATCCCTGCCACAAAAAACAGAAACAAAAAAATTCCAGTTTGTATGTGTAACACTTGTTTCTGTATTCCACTGTTTACCAAGTAGCATGTATAGCTAATTTCATGTTACAGATTCTAAATATCTGGTATATAATACCATACTAAAAATTTACATGACAACTGTTTCATCAGCTAAAATTAGACTGCAATTAGACTGTAGCTCCTGTGCAAACAAACCTAGCTGCACTCGCTTTTCAATTTAGCTATGAGGTCTTATTCTCCTTTGAAAATTTCAGGAAATTAAAATATTTTAAGGCCAGGGGTGTTGGCTCACGCCTGTAATCCCAACACTTTGGGAGGTGGGGCAGAGCATGGCTTGAGCTCAATAGTTTAAGACTAGCCAGGGAAACATGGGGAGACCTTATCTCTATTAAAAATAAAACATTAGCAGGATATGGTGGCCTGTAGTCCCAGTTTCTTAGGAGGACCCTGAAGTACGAGGATCACTTGAGCCCAGGAGTTTGAGGCTGCTGTGAGCTATGATAATGCCACTGCACTCCAGCCAGGGTAACACTGTGAGACCCCGTCTCAAAGTTTTTTTTAACTGAGCTTTCATAAGTGTTCCTTGAACCAACTATACACGAATGACTACAGCAGCAACAGGTACTGTACCTAAAACTGTAAGTTGTTTTAAAGTACAAGTGTTGACACGTTTACACTTGATATGTGAAACTGTATAAATGTACAAACTGCAGAAAGTTTGTGCAGAATTGTAGGAAATGTACATGTGAATGCTCTTGTTTATGAAATACAGTTATGGTGAAACATTCCATTTTCTTGGAGCCAGAACCCAAACCTGATACACAATTTTCAGGATATGTAACTTTACAGCTCAACCACACCAAAACCTTTGTACATGTGCCACAAGATATAGGCTTAAAAAAGAAAAATGTGAAAAGCAAGCATGTCCATCTTTTGATGTCAAGAAGTTATCTCCCAAGATGTTACTTACGTTAAACTGGTGCTATCACTCATAAAAAGACCAACTTCAGTACCATTTTCGATCAAGAGTATTCCTAGAGGCTGGGTGGGGTGCTATGATCCCAGCACTTTGGAAGGCTGGGGAGAATGGATCACCTGAGCTCAGGAGTTCAAGGTCAGCCTGGACAACATAGCAAAACCCCGTCTCTACCAAAAACACAAAACATTAGCAGCACTATTCAGCAGGCTGAGGTGGAAGGACCCCTTGAGCCTAGGAGGCGGAGGTTGCAGTCAGCTGAGATGCACTCCAATCTGGGTGACAAAGTGAGGCTCTCAAAAAAAAAAAAAAATTAAAAAAAAGTATCCTTAGACAAAACTCAAAAGACAGTTTTAAATAAAAGTATCTCTAAGTATCTCTAAGTTCTTTGTCAAACCTGCCAGAGGTTTGGATCCCTTCTTCTCAAAGGGTACCTCTCAGAATGAGTGATACATGAGCATCATCAACTGGAACTTTCTAGAAGTGCAATTCTCAGGGCCCACCCCAGACTGACTTACTTAGAAACCCTGGTGGCAGAGATCACAGGGATCTGTTTTAACTATTTTGATTCTGATATCAGCTAATGTTTGAGAACCACTGTGAAGAGTTTAAATGGGGAATCTGTTATTCCCTAGTTTAGAATTAATTCTTTAAGCAAAGTGCCTGTCCTTCCAGTGTAATGTGACAGAATCAAGTTTGAGCACCAAATGTTTTTGATACAATATAAATGAATCCAAAAAAACATAAACTATCACAATAAATGTCCCAAAGAAACCTTTTTTCCTTTTACGTTAATAAACCCAAATATTGAGAACACCTGCATTATGCTACACCTCGATGTTCTGGTTCTCACCAGTCAATCCTCTAGTAACTCTAATACGCACAAAACCAAAATCTTCCTGTTTCCAAAGAGAACACATGAATATACATACTAAGTAAGAGCAAATAATGCTCCCCAGAGACAATAAATTATTTGAAGACTGAAATAATAAAACTAATTAGAATAGCAGTAATACTAATTACTATTCTAATAGCAATTAGAATAGTAGCAATAACTACTAACTTAGAAAAACTGGCCGGGTGAGGTGGCTCACGCCTGTAATCCCAACACTTTGGGAGGCCTAGGCGCGTGGATCACTGGGGTCAGGAATTAAGAGACCAGCCTGGCCAACACGGTGAAACCTGCCTCTACTAAAAATACAAAAATAGCCAGGTGTGGTAGTACACGCCTTAATCCCAGCTACTCAGGAGACTGAGGCAGGAGAATCATTTGAACCCGGGAGGCAGAGGATCGTCCCATCGATTGCATGCCAGCCTGGACAAGAGACTCAGCCTCAAAAAAAAAAAAAAAAAAACTGTATCTGTATAATTTTTAGTCTTCTGGCCACAAAAAATTTGAATTAGAAACTAAAAATTCAAATAGGTTTTAAAAAAAGTCTTAAGTCCTCTTACGTAATCAAGGATTAAAATGTAGTTCTCCTAACTCAGGCGAATCGTTACACACTCCCAGTCAACACCTCTCACATTCACCACTTAAATATTAAGCTTTAATAATTCGCCCCTTAGTCTTTCAGAGCAACTAGCTACTTTGGAATTTATTATTTGCTTGTTTCGCACAGCCATTCCATCCAAAACAAGGTCGAATGCCATGTCAAATCCTCTAGAGTAATCACAAACGTAAGCTGTTTAAATTCTCTGCAGAAGGAATTATCAACCACCAAGTATTCCCAAGAGTGGCACAGGCATGGGGGAAAAAAGGTCAGAAGACCGGCAACTTGGCCATCCTTCTTACACTTTTCCCGCTAGCCAATGTGAAAATGTTACTAAATGCGTATCTAGTTGAGAACACACCTAGAATTGTGATATAAATCCCGTGGCAAACAGTTCCTGATATTAACTCAGAAGAATTTTTCGTACCCAGATATATATACTGACCAGAAGGAACCCATATTTCTATCGCCTCAAAGGCAAAGTGCCCTTCAATCAATTTCAATTACTATTAACTGTTCTTAAATACTAATTTCTGACATTTCTCTTTGCCAACATTATTTTTACTACCTATATGATTTCCCAATTAATGAATTTTTGCCCTTATTTCATTTGTAACAGTTCAGCACAATGATAAACTTTAAATATGAATGTTTAGGCCATAAAGGGTCACGTTGTTTTTGATCCTTATTTTACCTCCCAAACAGGTTGCCTTATGGATGAATTTCTTACCCTGCGAAATTAAACTGTGCTCAACAGCTTTAGTTTAAGATTAACAAGATTGTGAAAAACAAGCTTAACCAAATCTCATGTGAGAAATAAAAATCGACTTCCCAGATAAATGTGACACTGAAGATTACATAATTTTTTGACTTAAATTTTTCTATCAAATTTCAGCACCTAGCAAGTAGTAAGCACCGTGATATTTGCTTAATGTAGCTGTGAATCTGTGCCA